TAAAACCCCACTGATGGCACTTAAATGAACAAAACTTTTAAAAATCCCTCTGATGGCATTTAAACGAAGAGGGATTTTGAATTTCTGGCTGGGTATTTCGAATTTCTGCCTGGATATTTTGAATTTCTGGCTGGGTAGTTCCAATTTCTGCCTGGGTATTTTGAATTTCCGGCTGGGTATTTCGAATTTCTGGCCGGGTATTTCGATTTTCTGGCCGAGTATTTCGAATTCCTGGCTGGATATTTCGAATTCCTGGCTGGATATTTCGAATTTCTGGCTGGGTATTTCGAATTTCTGGCTGGATATTTCGAATTTCTGGCCGGATATTTCGAATTTCTGCCCGGATATTTCGAATTTCTGGCTGGGTGCAGCCCAGCCGTCCCTCACCTGGCTGCAGGTGCGAATTCCATCACCGCAGGGCTTGGCTGCCTCTCTGCGATCCCTCCTGGAGGAACTCTCCGGTCGCCACAGCCGGGCTGGACGAGCCCTGCTCCGCAAACACCGCCACGAAATCCAACATTGCAGCCCGAGGCCGGGGCTGCCGGAGCCCCAACAGCCCCAACATTTCCTGCAGGAGCTTTCCCGGGAATTGTCCTTTTGTCTGCTCGCTTTGCGGAGCCCGGATCAGCTCCAGCAGGTGAGTTCGAGGCATTTTCTGGTTTTTTTGTTGGTTTTTTTTTTTTTTTTTTTTTAATGTCACCTGGTTGATGTGCAGGAATGGGTGTCACCCCCAGCGGGTGGGTGCTTTGATAACCACAAATATTCCACAAATTCAAACGTTCCCGGTGTCCCTGGGACTGCGCTGCTGCCGAGCACAGAGCTCTTGGCCGGTGTAGAAAATCCCACTTTTTTTTACAAATTTTTTTTTTTTTTTTTTGGCAGAAACATCCCAGGGAAGTGGAGCCTTCCCCGGATTCTGCGGCTCGGATGCTCTGGGTGTCAGGGATGAAGATTGTGAAGCTGGAGGCTCTGGGACAGAGGTGCCTCTACAGAGTCCTGGATCTCTACAGCCACCTCCAGGTAGAGGCATTTTATTATTTTTGTCACAAAATTCTGAGTGAACAAATTCCCCTCCTGACCAAAAAATCGACAGAAACCTCCTTTACAAAACCCCGCTCTCCAAACCTTCGTACTAGGCAAAAAAAACCCCCCAAAAACCCAGATTATTTCTATTTTAAACCAATAATTTTCTCACTCTGCTTACCCTCTGCAGAGCGGGGCTTGCCCAGAAGGTGCGAGCAGGATCCTGAGAGGGTTGAGATGCCAAAATTCAGGTGAAGAAGCGGCTCGGGAGGCTGCAGAGAGCAGAGAGCAGCAGCATGCAACCAGGGCGCTGCATTTCCTGCAGCTGCATCATCGCGAGGGCTCCCTGCTCAAAGGGTTAAACGCGCAGGCAGAGGCTGAGCTGAGGAAAATTCGGGCGCAGTTCAGGCTGGAGATTCAAATCCACACCGAGGAAAAGGTTAAAAGGAAAAGTTGGAACGTCGGGGATATAAATTTTTAATCGTGCAGAGGGTGCGGACGTCAATAAAACCCCTCCGGGATTTGTTATTTCTGGAATATTTTATGGTGTTCACAATTATTTCGCTTGTGCTGGCAAAGGGAAAAAGTTGAAAAGCTCCAAAAATTAAAAGTTTTTTTTTTTTTTAAAAGTCTGCAAATTTTAAATTTTCTTTATGGAAGTTGATGGTTTCCATTCTTTTCGTCCCCTAGGCATTTCTAATTTTTGAATTATAACATTTCCACATTCCCTCAAGCTTGGAAATCTTTGTTTCCTCCCCAGCTCCAAGCCAAAGAAACAAAAGCCATGCAGGAGAATGCGGGAGAGGAATTTGGGGATTTTGTGACCTTTTCCCTCCTGTCCCAGAGACACCTGAGGCAAACGGTGACTCTGCTCCAGGACTGCCACAGGCTCAGGAACAATGCCCAGAAATGCCAGGAGGAGGGCACAGGCCTGGAACATCTCCTGGCAGAAGTAAAATTCGATTTTTTTTTTAATTTTTTTTTTTTGTTCGAATTGTCCTCGTAGAAGTAAAATTCTCTTTTTTTTTTTTTTTTTTTTTCTCCTGGTAGAAGTAAAATTCTCTTTTTTTTT